GAGAGAGAGAGAGAGAGAGAGAGAGAGAGAGAGCGCAAGTTATCATCTCACTGCCATGTTTCTGTAGCTTTGGGTTTTAGGAAGCCAGAGCACCATGGTAGAGAAGGCCTGGCTATCTCGTGGCAGCCTAGGAAGTTCAAGGGCAGGGGAGGTAGAGGAGCATCGGGAGTGGGGGAGAACACCAAGCATGAGATACACCTTTCATATGCACAGCTCAGGTGACCCCTTTTCCCTTACTAGGAAGGTGCCACTTCCTAATAACCTATCTTGTCAATGGAGTAACTCATTGATGTGGCTAGAACACTCATGGGCTTTGCCTGCAAGGGCTTTATGAGCTGGGCACAAGCTTGGGGTGAGGCAGGGTATACTTGATATTTAAACTACAACAGGGTAAATTGTTTGATAACTGAAACAAAATAGTTAAAAAACAATTTTGTGAGGCAAGTTGCATCTTCAGCAATTTAAATTGATTTAAAACTTTCCCTTTATGGTTGCTATCTTTTAAATCTTATTTTCTAGCAATGTTCTTCCTTCTTACATTGGAATGGAATCCTCTCGGCTACTCTTTGAGGTACTGGGGATCGAGCCCAGGGCCTCCTACATACTAAGGAGTATTCTCACTGAGCTCTGAGGTACATCTCCAGTGCACCCCCCCCCCTTTTTCCTTTTTTAAATTTCTGTTTTGAGATAGGATCTTGCTAACTTGCCCAGGTCTTGAATTTGTCTTGCAGTACAGACAAACTTGACTTGGAATCCTACTGCCTTAACTTCCAAAGAAGCTGGGATTACATACCTGTGCTACCATGCCTGGATTGCAAACCCTAATGACTTTATATGAGTTTGCATTTTCTTAGTTATTGACTTTTTACATTTGTTTCATAGGTGGTTTGCATTCGCTCCACTTGGAATGCTCTCTCTCCAAAGTTGAGTTGTGACACGAGACCCCTCATACTGAAGACCCTGAGTGAACTGTTTTCTCTGGTTCCTTCCTTAACAGTCAACACAGTTGAATATGAGGTATGTGTTTGGAGTCCAAGATGCTGTATTTTGAGCAAAGGTGTGTGATTAATACTTCCTGAATTAATTCTTTGTTTTTTCAGCTAGTTTACATAAAAGGAGATTGTGTTTTTATTATAAGAATTATCAAGATGTTAAAAATGCATTTTATGTTAAACGTTCCATTTCTAAAATAATAGTATATAAGATTAACAGTTTAAAAACTTATTAATGTTTTAAGTCATAAAATATAAGCAATAAAACTCAAAAAGGCAGGATGTATTTTCTCAGTTTTATATAGTTATGTTTATCATCATAATAGCCTGAAACACTCATGAGGTCTTTGTTGTCAGATTCCTATGATGCTACTTAATACTGTCTTCCTAGTTCTTCTTTGAGTGAAATAGTCAAACAATAAAAATTACATTTATGTCTTCACTTTTATAAGCTACAGTCCCTTGTTCTCACCATTACTTCTTTTCCTTCAAAGATCTGCAGTGAATTTTTACTGATGAACTTCCAGTTTAGTGAATCAAGGACTACCAGGCTTTAAGATTCTGTAACAGTACTTTGTGTGTTTCTAATCACAGGATTAGATGGAAGTATCAGAAAATACTTCTAGTAACTTTAAAGATTTATTTTTATTTATGTGTATGTGGTGTGTGTGTGTGTGTGTGTGTGTGTGTGTGTGTGTGTGTGTGTGTGTGTATGTGCGTGCCATGTGTGCCCTGTGTGTTTGGGTATCTTCAGAGGCCAGAAGAAGGTGTTGGATTCTCTGGAGCTGGAGTTACAGATGATTGTGAGCCACCTAGTGTGGGTTTTCAGACTTAACTTAGGTCCTCCAGGACAGCAGAATGTTTTTAACTGCTGAACTGTTTCTCTAGCCCCGTTTCTCACTCTTTAAAATGCCCCACAATGAATGAAATCAAAATCATCATTACTGTGGGTGAACATCTAGGACTGTTCCTGCACAAAGTATGTACTGGGTATGTAGTTGCTGAATGAACTGTGTGACCTACGCAGGGCCTATCCCTGTTCACTTCAGAGCTTTTGGTTCATCTCAAGTGAAGTCCAGCAAAGCAGTCCTGCCTTCTACTACATGACAGACAGTTCCCTGTTGTCCCTTGCCTAGCCATGCAGTAGTACAAAGGGTGCCTCCCCATGTGTCTTCAAACATTTCTATTTCTTTTATTCATGCTGTTCCCTTTGATCAGACTTCCCTTTCTTTCATCTTTAATTAAAAAAAATCTGCTTTATGAATTAAGGAATTGCTCTATCTCATTCTATCCTTCAAGAATTTTTCCCTAACAGAAGTCTGTTGCTCTCAAACTTCTTTGCATGGTTCTATGAATGTGATTTCTACTTTATACTACGGGGATATATAATTTTCCCCATTAAACTATAAACAGTGAATCATAGAGTCCATGATTAAATTGGATTGTGCTTTTAAAATTGCCTTCCATAAGTTATGGTATAGTTATTCTTTGACTCAGAATACGTTTATTCAAACCATATTAGGTCCTAACGGTACTGATAAATGATGGTAGATGCTATTTCAAATTCTTACTGAAATTGAAGCACTGAGGTTTTGAGTCATATCCACTTAAGAAATCAGCATTTATTGAGTGTCTGAAATATGCCAGGCAAGTAAATACCTTAACTAAATGAAAGATGGTGTATGAACTCAGGACTTTCTAGCTAGACACCCTCTACCAAAGTGTCTCCATGTCTTTGTCTTCCAAATTTCAAAGACTGGCAAATGAGTGTGGTAGAGGAAGCGACTAACCTTGTTAGGGAAACCATTAGGAACAGTGATCTAATTGGCATCATCAGGCTTTGATGTTGAGGATGTATAATGTTGCTTCTCATTGAGGTCTGGGGCATGAACTTGGTAAAGTCAAGGAGCAAAGAAGAACTGAGGATGATATGGAGTGGTCCAGCACTAACTCTAACCCTGGCTGACACAAAAAAGACACTGAGCACCAGCATGCAAACAATTCTGTGTTTGACTAATTATCCATTAAATAATTGTCATTTAAACGAATAGGTTTAGGATCGGTGTTGGAAATCTTGGATATGAAAAAGACACAGTGACTACTGTATACCATGTACAACCTAATGGAATTAATCGGATCACATGCTCCTGTGCACCTGCCATGCATCCAGTTAGAGGAAGGTGAACTTCTGGGCAGGGGGCTAAGACTAGTGTCAGAAACAAGTGACATTTGTATCAGGACTTAAAGGTCAGAGACAGTGGCCATCTTTCTCAATTATGTCACCTCAGCGTTTCAGTGTATACTTTTAGTGATACATGTGTTCAGATAACTAATTTGAGTGGCCCTCTTGTCTAAGTAATAGCTTCAGTAATTCATAATGCTGTGACTTAAAAAGTAGCTTAATTTCTACTATTTGTTATTTCAGATTCTTCATTTCAAGTTAAACCTCTTCTTAATTTTTTTTCCCTTTGTGTTTTCTGATTTTTCAGAATTTTAAAGTCCAAGTCCTCAGCTTCCTCTGGACTCACACTCAAAACAAGGTATTTTCATAGGAATATCAGTGATTTAGAACAACCTAGGGAAAGAGCTATGAAATAAGACTCAAGAGAAACAATATAGCTAAAGTCTTGATTTTTTAAAAAGTGACTATTTGTATGTTTAGATTTAAAAATCATTCTCAACTACTCTCAGTAATGACAGATGTGAAGGTTGTTGACACTTTCCCTTATTTTTATATGGTTCTTTTTGTGCTCTGGCCCTTCCACATAAATGTACCAAATAGAAGGTGTAGTACAGTATAGTTTGTGTGTTTATGAGGGTGTGTATGTGTTTGTGTGGGAACATGTATGTTTGATGTATGTGGAGACCATAGGACATCTTCAGATGCCATTCCTCAGTTGTCTCTTTTTTTAGATAAGGTTCCTTACCGGCATGGAGTGCACCAAATAGTGTAGACTGGCAGTGTGGTGAGACCCAGGAAACTCCCCGTGCCACCATGCCAAGCTTTTTTTGGGAGGGCGGGCTTAGGTTCTTGGGATCAACTCGGGAAGTCATGTTTTCTCAATGCACAAGCTATCTCCTGAGTCCTTGGGTGGGTTTGTAGGCACCATTTCCAGTGAAGAGTACCGAGGGCTGGAGATGTCACACTTGACCTGTGGGTGCATGAACTTGGGCTACAAACAGCTTGCTTGTCCTGTTAAACATGGGCTTGTCAGACCGTGCACCCCTGCGGTCCTACTAAGTCATTCTAATGCAGAGGGACTCGGGTAATTAGGTAATTTTTAAAGTCCAAGTTATGATAAAAATTTAGTGTTTCTGAGCCCATTGGCTTAGTTTTATTTTCTGTTCCTACTTGGGGCAGATTCTCCAGAAGAATGCTTAATAGTGGTAATTTTCCTCAGCCATTCTTATTTCTGTCTTAAGGATGTTTTTTGTTTATGTATTTGTTTGCCCCTGCTACTTTCTTTTTAAATAATATTTCTTTGAAATGAGAAACCTGATTTCTCAAGCCTCTGCTAAATGTTCTTTTGGCCTAAGTAATACTTGAATATCACTCTTCAGACACTGACTGTAGCAGTCTGGCATTGGGGAGGGAAGGTTTTCTTGCCTCCTTGAGATCTGATGTTGATGTGTGTTGCTTTCCATTGGTCTCATCCAGGATCCCATTGTAGCAAGTGCTGCATATAAATCTCTGTCTCACTTCAACACAGGAGAACACACCATTCTTCACTTGCCAGAAAAGGTAAGCCCTTCTGCTTTTCACTGCTGTCTCTTGAGTTTTTTTTTGGGGGGGGGGGGCTTGTAATATGTCTTTATTTCTGCTTAGTTGCTCTTTTCTTGATGAATATATATGTACCTCTAGGTATAGCACCCATATAATCTAACTTGTTCACTCTTCTTTTAACCTGTAACACTGTGTGGTCTTACACTTCCTACGTGATGGGTTTGAATCTCTTTGAAGTAGCTGAAAGGCACTGTGGTGTAAATGGAGCCACCACAAGTGACTGGAGTCATGGCTTGCCCAGATGTTCTGTGCCACTTTAGGAACCACTTTCCTGTTCACTCCGAGTGCCATTGGAGTTCAGTTCTAAGCATGACCCCACAGATTCATATTTTCTATTTCCTGTGCTGCTGAAGATCTTTATTTTTTCACGAACAACAAATGTCATAAGGGAAAAATCCTTGTTAGTAAGATAGGAAATGATTTATATGATAAGAAGGATGTGTCGTTACCTTTTATGGGTCAGCAAAAAGTATAGCATTATCTTAGCTTTCAAAATAAGTAAGTTACTAATGTTGCTGCTATTGTTATTGCAGTGTTGGGGATGGACCTCCAGCCTTGTATATGTTAGGCAGTTATTTTTATTTTAAACTAGACATAAAACCTAGTATCTAATGGGTGTACTGGCATATGACTTTAATCCCAGCACTCTAGGGGTGCAAAGGTAGGCTGGTCTATGCACATTCAAGACCAGCCTGGTATACACAGCACATTCCAAGCCAGCTAGGGTTATCTAGTGAGACCCTGTGTTTAAGGAAAGAAAGAAAAATCTAGTACTTACCTACTTTAAGCAGCTTTAATGCACTGGATCCTGTTAAGGAGCTGAAGCCCTGATGTTACTTTCATTGCCACCGCGAGTCCAAATAGTGCAGATGACTAACAAATGCCTTTATGGGAAAAGGTGATATTGTATTATATGAATTTATATATAATATTACCCAGAAAGTATCCTGGAGATCTAATGTTGTGAAATTTTTGGCATCCTCAGGCATTAAGACATGTTTGGCTTTTTCTTTTCTTTTTTTTTTTCTCCTTTTCTTTTTATTAAGAGATTTTCTATTCATTTTACATATCAACCACAGATTCCCCTGTCCTTCCTCCTCCCACCCCCCAGCTTTCCCCCCCAAACCACCCCCCATTCCCACTTCCTCCAAGGCAAGGTCTCCCATGGAGAGTCAGCAGAGGCTGGTACATTCAGTTGAAGCAGGTCCAAGCTTTTCCTCCCTGCACCAAGGCTGCACAGAGTGTCTCACCATAGGCATTAGGTTCCAAAAAGCCAGCTCATGCACTAAGGACAGGTCCCAGTCCCACTGCCTGGGGGCCCCCTAAACATTTCAAGCTAAACAACTGTCTCCCTTATCCAGAGGGCCTAGACATGTTTGGGCTTTTGTTCTGTGTTAAGTTTTTACAGAGATCAGAAGCTAGTAGTGACTTGGCCAGCTTACTAATTTTTACTGAATTGAATTGGAGCTATCATATAAAAGAAGCTGAACATAAGTGCCTGTGAAACCAAATCTTAAGTAAGGCAGGATTTCTTATACCATTGAGGACTCAAACTAACTCAACTGGCCAACTTGTCCTGTAGTGGTCATAAGTGGGAAGGTTTACCGAAGGTGTTTTATAATAGAAACCGATGGGACTTGAAATTGCACTGTGGTTACCTGTGCATATCTGCTTTTAACATATGTAGTTAGTGCTTGAGAGATGGCTCAATGGTTAAGAGCACTGGCTACTCTTCCGATGATCTGAGTATAGTTCCTAGCATTCAAATGGTGGTTCAGGTCCATCTGTAACTCGAGTTCCAGGGGATGTAACCCCCCTCCTCTGGCCTCCATGGACACTGACACTGCATGAACATTGTGCACAGATATACATGCAGGCGAGTCCATATAAGTACAATAAAAAAAAAATAAACAAATAAACAAATAAATTAATAATAAAAAAAAAAGAAACCAGTGCTGTTAAGTTGGTGTGCAAACTCCCACAAGTAGATTAGCTGAACACCTGCAGGAATACCTTTTTTATGTTTTTATTCATCAGTTGCTCATTTAAATCATAGTATAACAAGTACCTCTGATTTTAGCTCTTACTACTGAAATAGCCTAGTGTTGGTAATAGCTTTTATTAAGCAATTGTCAGGCACTCCTCACTATTTATCCTGTACCTTTTAAAATACTGGTCTGTTTATCTTTTATGACATTAGGGTTATATTCACCTTCTGACTGTGTTTGTTAGAGATTATACTCCATTAAGTGGTATACAAGGTTCCTCTTCAGCTGTTTCTTTAAATTGAGCTCTTATATCCCTTCTGATCCATGCATTTCCATAACTGGCTCTTTATACCTCCTGCTTTGAATAGGAGTGATGCACTTAGAGTCACTGCTTCAAATATGTTTGAACTTCAGTCTTTAGACTGCAGAACAGTAAAGGAGAGCCATAAGGCTTATTCCTCTGTAAGCATGCTTTTCAGTGTTCATTCTGTTTTACCCCCTTCTGGGATAGGTCTTCTTCTCCAGAGTAGCAGTAGTTCACTGTCACTTATCCTCAGCCAAGGTTGTGGTGGTGGAGTCTATGAATCTTCCTCTCCCGTCTCTCCCTCCAGTTTCTGTTACCAAGCACCTATCTTCTTGGAGACACCAGGTCCTCCAATGCTGAACTCTCCGCCTCCTTGAGAATGTCACACATCTATATAATGTGTGTTGACCAAATCCACCCTGTGCTCTCCCCTCCAAGACCTCCGCTATTCCCTCCACCACTTTTCATTCCCAACTTCATGTACTTTTTAAAAACAACAAAGACAGAAACTCCTATTTACAGCAGAAGGTATAAAGATCCAGTTATGGGTATGCACGGATCAGAAGGCATAGAAGAACTCAATTACAGAAATAGCTAAAGGGGAACTTTGTATACCACTGAATGGAGTATAATCTCTAACATACTCAGTCATCTGTGAATATAACTAAAGGCATAAGCAACAGAAGTAGAAGCTGAGTGCTACTTGTATGTGCATGGGTTTCAGACTGTCTGCTGGAGCATGGGTGTGACCCCTTTGAGGGGTCACATTCCCGAAGCAAACTTAGTCTGCCTTCTCTAGCAGCCATCAGTTGCCAATAGTATCTCAGCTAGCTGGTAGGACTTCATGAGCCCCTTCCCATCCGTACTGGTATGTTGGCTGGCTTGATCTTGTGTAGGGCTTGTGAGACCATTCTTCTTGTTATTACTCTTTCCAGTGGGGCTGTTTGACTATCTAAAGAAGAGAAATTGAAAAACTGATTGTATACCAAATAAGCACACCTCCCCCCAAAGCTAGGGGTACAATCAGGCATTTTGTAGATGTTAACAGTGATATAAAAGGCACATTTTCAATAATGGTGTGGTTTTGAATGTTTCCAAAGTGGATGCAAGCAGGAGCTTCTGTAGCTCTTTGTTACCAGATTTCTGTATACTTTACCAGTGAAACTGTATCTACATTTTCCAAACTTATGACCTTGCTGTGATATTTTTTTCAGCGAGAATTAAAAATGAAACAAAACAAGATACATATTTAGAAGTATAACTATCTTTGTAAATTCTAATTCCCATATGTTTGAAAGAGCCACTTTTCATTTAATTTCCTTAAGAAGCAAATATTTCTTATTTGTTGATAAATATAAATTTATACTATATAGCTTGTGGAAAGTTAAAAGGCAGGTAGAACAAAGGGGTAAGGGGAGTGGCAGGTCAGAGAAGAAAATGTAGTGTTAAAATAATACATCTAAAGTAAGATGGAAACTGTCAGGTGCTAGAGCTGGAGGAGACCTCATGTGAATAAGGGATTCGATACAAAGTCTGTTCACTCATACTGTTGCTTATTAAGTTTGCTTGTGGGACTTCAGGTGATAGACACTTACCTCTGGCTAGGTTGAATAACTACTTACTGAATATCTGCTAAGTATTGGTCTCTGTCCTATGTGCCGAGGATGTTAAATGATTACATGTGTTTTGTGAATTTGCAGTAATTTCTGTAGACGAACCTTAAAAGGTCTTATTAAATAAAAAACACGGAACCAGATATAGGAGTGAAAACCTGAGACATCAGAGGAATAGGAAAAGCCACAAGCTAACATCACCTCACTGACACCTCCGTAGGAATAGACCCACTTTCTGTTTACCCACGCCTATATGCCTTTCTGTTCTGCTATGTCATTTGCTCTGTTCGTCCAGCTATATCACTTCCTCTTCCTGCCCAGCTCTGTCACTTCCTGTCTGCCTGTACAGACCTCCAGACCTCTATGGTTAGTGCTGGGATTAAAAGCATGTGCCACCACGGTTGGCTCTGTTCCCTGTGTGGCTTTGAAGTCACCGAGATCCAGACAGATCACTGCCTCTTGAATGATAGGATTAAAGGCGTGTGCTACCATTGCCCGACTTCTATGTTTACGATAGTGGCTGGCTTTTTCTTCTGATCCTCAGATAAATTTTATTTGGGGATATAGTATATTGGGGGACACAATACATCACCACAAATGTCATTGTTTATCTCAAAATGAAAATCTAAATTTGATTTAAAATTTTCTTGAGGACCCATTCATTTCAATATTAAAAAAGTAAGGAATGATTTTCCCCATTATTAGTGTGTGTGTGTGTGTGTGTGTGTGTGTGTGTGTGTGTGTGTGTGTGTTTAGATATTTATTCTTATCGTCTCATTTCTTTATTATTCCCCCCACCTACCCAAAAGGGGAAAAAAAAATAAAACAAATCAACGAAAACAAGATAGAATTGTTTTTCTGGTAAAATAACCAGTAGGGGATACACTTTTAGGTAGAAAACATTGATTTTTTTTTTCTTCTGACTTAGAGTCATTAAAAAATATTCAGCTGTTTCAAAATTAAACTTACAAAGATCTTAAGATAGTCTTGTTGATTTCTGGGGCTAATTTTAGAAGCAATGAAGAAGAACTCATTATGTATCCGGGGTTGGTA